TCTCTCCACTCAGAGGCTGCCTTCAAACGCGAGATAAAAAAGGTTCTAAGCTGATTTGTTTAAAATGATTTTCACAGTCAAATCGCTGCCTTTTTCTCCAGAGACCCTGCTTTGTTTTGGAATCCGGCCTTATATAATTATTTACTGTCATGACTAAGTGTGCTGAATTATCACCTTAAAGGACGAGGAGGCTGGTGCGAAAGAATCGGCAGAAGATGGAGACAAAGCAACGCTGACCTCGGGGAGCAATTTTGAAAGGACTATCACAGTCGTCAAGGGCAACTCCAGCCTGGGTTTGTGCTCATTTCTTTACAATCTTTAATTTGTTCTTTTTATTTGTTTTCTTCTCATTTTCCACAGAAGTGTTAATGAGTTTTCAGGATTGAAAGGTGCATTTGGCCTTTACTTTTATCTCCTGTTTTCTAAATCCAGTTTTATGGAGAAATGATAGAAGCAATTTTTGACTGTTTTCCACTCAGAAAGTCTAATCCCATCGCCATACTCATTATTTGCATTTCAAAACCTGCCCAAGGGGCTGCTACTGGCTCCAAGAATATTAAGTATGAACTTCTAAAACAAATAGGTGTTATGAAGTTACAGTTTAAAATCTTCAATTCCTCAATCGTCTTTTATTTTGCTCGTTTGTGCTCTTTCAAGGTTTTTATTGGGTGGAGAATTGGAGTATTCGGCATATTTTGCTCTCAATTTGCAGCTTACTTAGACCGAATTCATTCTTAAATAGAGCGCACTAATCTTATTTTTAAACAGTTTGTAAATGAATTCTCACACACCAAGCTGTTGCAAAAGGGAGTTTAAAATGTAGTCGAAGGCTTTAGCCGGAGTGTCTCCCATCTGGATAAAAAGAATGATGGACAGTATGTGCAGATGAAGACGAGCCTCCAGAGATATTATGTCACACTCCATTGAGACAGATGTGAAAATTAAATTCATCAACATGTTGACAGTTTCTACAGTGAATGGATTTTCTTGTAGAAGAGAATCAAAAATATAGTCTAACTGTGTTCCTGAGTTAACTAAATGTTGGGATATTTTCTCTCACTGATGTTTTACAGAGCCAAGAGTAGGCACAGTATAAAAACACAAAGTGTAAAAATGGCTCAGAGTGTGCCAAGAAAATATCCCCACACCATTAAACCACAAAAAAAGGCTGATACAAGGCAACATGCATCCATGCTTTCGTGTTCTTTATACTAAACTGTGACCCTACCATCCGAATGAGACTCCTTGGTGAGCTGGTGTGAACTGTAGCCTCCGTTTCCTTTTGTTAGCTAACAGGAGTGGCAGCTAATGGTGTGGTCTTCTGCCTCAAGGTCCGATGTGCTGTTGGTCTTGGTTATGATGAGTGGTAGTTTGAGTTACTGTTGCCTTTAGCTCAAAGCCATCTGGCCATTCTCCTCTGACCTCTGACATCAACAAGGCATTTTCTTTGGATATTTTCCCTTGTTAAAGATAGTTGTGTGGGAAAATCCCAGCAGATCAACAGTTTCTGAAATACTCAAGTCACTTAAATCACTTAAATCAAACAGTTGCTCATCTTTTTCAAAGGGATGACAGTGAGCGCCTTGAAAGACGGTTTGGGGATGTTGATCCGCAGCATAATCCACGGAGGATCCATTAGCCGGGATGGACGTCTCGGGGTTGGCGATCTCATCCTGGCTATCAACGGAGAGCCCACTGCCAACCTGACCAACGCCCAGGCCCGCGCCATGCTCAGGAGGCACTCTCTCATTGGGCCAGATATGGGGTAAAGGCTCTAATTTATATACACGTTCACGCGATACAATAGCATGCATTATGATTTCAATGAGACCATTATTGTGGCCAAAAATAACAGATTGCAATTTGCAGTAATTCATTTGACTTAAATGTGAAGCTTATGCCTCTACCAAAGCTTTTTTTTTTTTTTTAATTCAAGCGGTTAGTTGTCATTTAGCCCATATGCACATAATTAGTAATGTCTGAGTGCATGAAATGAATATTAGCTCCTCTCAGCCATTTCTCTGTAAGCCGCGTTGTAGAGTCCATTTAAATGAGCCTATAAATGCAGAATACAGCAGGCTCAGTAGTAACTGGTAGATTATTTTTTTAAAGAAATGAGCACTACTAAAGTTACACTGTTGGCCTGACACTCTGCCCTGTGAAGGACTTGCCTTACAGGTAAATCGAATGTTGTATTTGACAAGTTCTGCTTGCTGAACTAAACTTGGCAGTTTGTTAGCTTCGGTGCATAAAAAAGCCAACTCTTCACGTTCTAGATCTGCTTGTGCACCCGAGGACGATCTGTGCCCATTTTATGTGTGAGTATGACTAACTTCCATGCTGGTGGTCTTTCTGCAACAACAACAACAACAACAAACTCTCTTTCTTTCCATCTGCTGCCGACCTTCATTATAGTCTATTAGAGTTTTATCCAGACAGTTACTCACAGCAGAGTGCCAAAGCAACAGCAACAGCGAAATATGACTATAGCTGCTAAAGATGCTGTTTTTAATGTCTGTCAGATACACTGAGTAGCATTTAAATAATAATACTGTGAAGCTGAGCACCAGCTTTAATAAATGTTTTAATTTCTATTCCCGTGACAACAGATCTGGATAAATCTTGATTGACTACCACTTCTTTTTTTTTTAGCACCTAACCTGCTGTACGTCTTCTTCTTTCTTCCATTGTGACTAACACATATAAAGGCACCATAACGCACTGTTTTTCCTGTTTTCCCCTCCACTCATCATTCCTTTATAAGCTCTGCCACGTCTCTCACCGCCTGTTGTGATGTTCTTAATGAACTGACTCATCCGTTTCATTATTTCATTCATTTTCCTCTGTCTGCATGCCATGTATTTTTTTTTTTTAAAAACCACACACACAAATCAAAATCAACCCATCTGCTGAAGATCTGTTAGCTTCACTCAGATGTGCTAATGCGCCCCCGAGAATCAGCCTCACTCTGAATTGTTGTGAAACGTCAGTTTGTCAGCTTTCTTTTGTTTCATTTCCTAAAGGGAGTTTGTTTGTGTTAATAATAGAGCCATCAAATTTGTTCCACGTCGGTCACACAGTAGGTGATGCAGGACTTCGAAAGCGTCTCAACCTCGTCACAGGGAGGTTTTTTGCAAATAGACTGAGGTCTGTTTTGCTGCAGTCTTGTTCGTGAAGTAAAATCTGATGCAGGGACAACGGCTTCTAAATGTAAATGAGCAGGTTTAAAAGTAGCTGTTTTGTTTAATGAAAAGGTGGCGGCGGGGGGTAGCTGTAAGGATTAGGTTCCAGTTTGCACTTGACTGCGTGTTCTCCTCTATTTTTGGTAAATTACTTTGTGCTTTTGCAATGAATGGGGGCATAATTGCCAATAACGGTGAGTAATAGGGTTTATAAATATGGAGGCCAGGTTGTTGTGTAGTTTGTGAATATCCACTCATTTATGTGTGTGTGTGCTTATGTTTATGTGTGTGGTATGGGGGGGTTCAGCATTACGTATGTCCCAGCTGAGTATCTGGAGGAGTACAAGGCCAGCCTGGAGCAGCCTAAAGACGACGTCTTCACTGACGCAGCTCCAGCACCAGTGGCAGCTCCAGCGCTGAAGTACGTCCCCCTGCCACAGTGATAGTTGTTATGCAATTTGCAGGCAAACCTAAAGGTGAACAGACAAATGTTTATATGCGGAGCCTCTTTTCTATTTTTAGAGAAATTCCTAACCTCCCCGAGCGCGAAGACGGAGAAGGAGAAGAAAGCGCATCTTATAACATCTGGAACCAACCGAGGAAGTGTGTGAACACAGACACATACACATGTGTACCTGACCTTTTGATTCAATTTTGTACATGTATCAAATGTCAAGGTTTAAAGTGAAAACTCTTGCAATCGCTTATTGGTACCTTCCTCAGAGTGGAGCTTTTCCGAGAGCCGGGCAAGTCCCTGGGGATCAGTATCGTCGGTGGCCGAGGGATGGGCAGCCGGTTGAGCTCTGGAGAGGTGATGCGGGGCATTTTTATCAAGCACATCCTGGAGGACAGTCCTGCTGGACAGAATGGGACTCTGAAGACTGGGGATCGAATTGTAGAGGTAAAGGGACTTTTTGTGTCACAGAGCAATCGATATAATTTATTCGTTTGGACTAAAGTGCTCAAATGTTTGAAATAAATGGCTAGACAAAAAAAAATGGTTTAAGATTGAATAATTTTTTTTTATGCTTCCTTCAGGTGGACGGAGTAAACCTAAGAGATGCTAGTCACGAGGAGGCAGTGGAGGCCATACGGAGGGCAGGGAACCCTGTCTCCTTCCTGGTCCAGAGTATTATCCAGAGGCCGAGGGTAAGTCTGTATATTAGCGTCTGATTCCCAGTAACTACCTCATAATGTAAAGGTCACAGTATCCTCACTTTGCAGCTTCTTTTTTGTTACCTCTTGTAAAACTTTTGTGTTTCTGCACAGGCCGTTTAGGGCACTTTCAAAAAGCTAACAGGTACCGTATACGACCCCTTTATTGTCCTGGGTTGTCTGTACGTTGAAAGTAAATGTGAACTCTTTTATGGAGCGACAACAAACCCTGCCTGGCATATTAAACGTATTAGCGTGTTTTAACCTTTAAGAGCAGCGCTGAAACAGTGTATCAACAACACCGTTTGTTGCTTGAAAGTGCCCTCAGGCCTTTAAAGCATGACTAAATCGCTTCCTGCTGAGGCTGCTACTGGCGTGGCTCCAGTGTCAGATCTCCCTGCTTTCATCACCTTTCACACATTAGGAGATAGTCCCTCATGGTTTCCTAAATATTCTGGTTACTCATTAAGCATACAACAAACCATAATCTTATGTAAAACAGGGGAAGGACACGAGGAGGGCAAGAATGATATTAAAGCTGCTATGATCAGTGTTTTTGGAACAATGGCATAAGGGCCATTGACCGAACCTGACTTTGCGGTTCCCCTGAGCTCTGCGTGGATTTGTAGCATCATTCGATTTATTCTTTTGGTTTTCCAAACAGTAACTGTAGTATTTTGGGTAAGAAGTTCTCGGTCTTCTTGTCTTATTTTTTTGTTAATGTTAATGTTTGTTAATGTTTTTTAGCAGTTAGCTCAACAGTTACTAAAGTTATTATCTAAAAAGTTAACACTGTTTAGAATAAACCTTTTAGCTTTTAGTTGGTTAAAAGTTAGCTAACTGTCATGGTTGTTAGCTAAAGAAATACTGAAACACATTGTGCACTTGATACTAGCACGAGCTAGGCTAACAAAAACATTAGCAGGCTAATTTAGTAGCCTGCTAATGTTTAATTGTTTAATGTTTAATTAGTGGCTGATTGTAACTTCAAAACAATACAATAAAAAAGAGACACGTAATTAGTTACCTTTTAACTATATGTCTTATTTGGTCAAAGTTACAGTACTGTGCAAAATTCTTGAGCTTTTTTTATTAAAGACTTAAAAAATTGACTTTTTGAAGCTTCAGACTTTTTTTTTTATGTATTAAGCGACTTAATGTTGACCTATGAATCATTCAAATTAAAGACAAAGTAAGTAAAGGAAAGAACTGATGTTGTATCTACACGTGACAGACAACCTAGCAAATACAAATTCTATCTTTACACGCGTTGTTACAAGCAGTCTGTCACAAAAACATACATTTTTAACAAAAAATGCTAAAAGCATCAAATAGTATTTTTGCGTCTTTTGATACCCAACGAGATATTAACTGAGGGCTTGGCATATCTCAGCGTGATGTGCAGTTTGTCCTTAAATTTTTTAGGAAACTTGAAAAGTGAAGAACTAAAGAAAGTCAGCTTTTAAGAAGTAGGAAAAAATTAGGAAAAAACCTGAGAGATGCATCTGACCGTTCACTTGATCCATCTACTGTTCACTGATGCCTTATCAGAAATGGTGTCAGTAGACGGGTGGCTGTCAATAATTCAAGGGAAACTGGGAGAAAAGGCTGAGTGTAATGCCAAATTACACAATCAGTGGCAACAGGGTCATGGAGATGTGACGCAAATTTGAAGTTCTCAGTATAAATCATCTTTGATATGTATGAAGGAGGTCAGGAGAGAAGGACAACAGTATCTACAGGCATCTGTAAAACACACAGTGGAGACTCTGTCATGGCTTCGGGATAAAGTTCAGTCAGTGGTGTGGGGATCTTGACAAAACTGATGGAGTTATGACCGCAGAAAAGTACCATCAGATTTTGATCCACCATGCAATGCCATCTGGAAAGTGTCTGCCTGAGAACAGCTTCATTTTTCAACAAGACAATGATTCCAGACACACTGCCAACGCAGTAAAAGCATACCTGGATAGAGAAACACACAATGAAACACTATCAGTCATGAATTGGCCTCCCCAGAGCTCAGACCTCAACATTATTGAAGCAGTGTGGGATCATCTTGAAAGAGAACAGAACAAACAGGCCGAAACATCCAAAGAAGAGCTTTGAATGTCATTCCTGAAGACTACTTCAGGAAATGATTAACTCTGTTTACTCATTTTCCATTTTCCTAGCAAAATGTAGGAAATTGGGGTGACTGAAGACATTTACACAGTACTGTATACCAAACTAGTTCTTTAAAGTACTCAGAACAGTTTTAAGTAGTTACTACAATATGAGCTGCTTCAACCTACATCTCTGTTCCTCTACATGGCGTTCTCAGCCCGAGTCAGTTTATTGCCCAGTTTCATCGCCCGCAGTAAAGAAACACACCACTGCTTTCACACACATGCCACCTCGCACATGTCAGGTAATCTGTCTTTCTCTTTTTGTCTCCCTCATTTTATTGCTTAAGCTATCCGTCACACTTTATCTTAGTTGCATTATCTGCACTCCCTACTCTTTCCCTTTGTCTCTCAGACTGGTGGCTGAGTCTTTCTTTTTATGTCCGTCTTTGACTTTGAAATAAACATGATGTGCGCATTAATGGAAATAAAGCAGAATTCTAAATTCCCTCCAGGAGAAAAAGAACAGAATCATTTGTTTAATGTCAGCGACCCCAAATGCTGCTTTTAACCAAGCGCTAAAATCAATGTGGCCACTATTTTAGACACATCTGTGCTGAAGGTGAGCTTTGGTGACATTTATTGCACATGCACATTAGATTCTAACCACGGGGCTTATTAAAATTTAATTGATACCTCATATAAAGATGGTCATTATCAACTCTACAATATCAGGGTTGCCAGCTTTTTGTGGGAATAGCACAGCTGGCACTTTTTATCTTTATATCAGCCAAAAAATCTTTTGTGCTGTATTGTAGGGCATA